ATTGGCTTTATCACTCTGATCTCCTCCCCACTAATAGCTGGTGTGTGGTGAGCATTCTGGCGCACTATGGCTGCCGTCGCATCATCCAGGTGGGGCTGCACACTGGTGGTGGTGAAGGGGATCCCCATTACCTGTAAAGCGCTTTGAGTGGAGTGTCCAGAAAAGCGCTGTATAAGTATAAGCAATTTTTATTAATTAAGAATTTCCTCCATCATTTGTGACTAAAAAGCTCTTAATAGATCATCAAGTTATAATGAACAGACAGAGGTAGAACAATGTATCAGGCACTCCCAAATAATTTTCCCTCTGCATGAGCCTAATTGGCTACATTTCAGCAGACACATTTAAGGAAATGAAACACACGAACTAGCACAGAGTTGACGTATGAAAGTACTGTATTTCTGGTTATTTCTGTTAATATACAGTATGCTTTAATGTTTTAGAATAACATCCATTTTTGTGTTCCATCCCCCATAAGTATGGGGACAAATTAATTTAAAGGAAGGTAGTTTAAAAAAAATACTTGGCTGCAAATTGTTTGCACACAATAGATACATCAAGTCTGCAACCCACTGGCATCACCAAACTCTCGGTTTGTTCTTTTGAAATGCTTTTCCAAGCCTGTGCTTTTTCAGTTGGGGTTTTTTTACTTCAGTTTCCTTTTAGCAAGTGAAATTCATGCTTGACCGGACTTAAATCAAGAGAACTTGGACAAGTCTAAGACTTTCTACTATTTCTCCTGATGAATACTTGGTTGTGTTGGCAGTGTGTTTTTGAATAACTGTCTTACTGCATGAAGAAGCATCAACCAATGAGTCTGGAGTTATTTTCTTTTTACACAGGGAGACAAGATGTTCCTGTACACTTCTGAAGTAATTCAGCTAGTACCATCATTAGTTACATCATCAGTACAGAGGTGTGAGCCAGTTCCAGACTTGGTCATTCATGATCATGCTCGACACTACCTACACCATGTTCACACATGAAGTGGCTGCAGTTCATTCCTTTCTCCATACTATCACCTCGCCATCAGTCTGGTAGAGGTTGATTTTTGTCTCATCTGTCTACAACACTCTGTTATAGAACACTACTACCGCATCTCTGCGCTTTTTAGCAAATTGTAATCTGGCCTTTCTATTTTTGATGTTGATGAGAGTTTGCATCTTGTGGTGTAGCCTTTATAATTCTGCTTTAGTCTTCTGAGAACAGCAGATTGTGATACCTTCACCCCTGCACTGTGAGGTTGTTGGTAATTTTAGCCACAGTTGTTTTAGAGTTTTTCTTCACTGGTCTGATAATTGTTCTATCATCAGCTGCAGTTGTTTTCCTCAGCTGATCTGGTCATGGCCAGTTGCTAAGTACACCAGTGACTTCTTTCTTTTATCAGATATTTCAAATCGTTCGTTTTGCTACGGCCGGTTTCTGTGCTGGGGTTCTGATTGAATTCTTCTTTTCTTTCATAGACAGGTCTCTAGTCATTAGGTTGGTTTAGGCCTTCTGACTCCAAAGCAGGGCTGGATTTTGGTGTTCGTAGGCCCTAGACACTTTCACTCCAAAATGTGCAAAACGAGGGGTAAAGGCCAATTGAATGACGTCGATTGACATGATGCATTTTAAACTATTCTAATGCTAAACCACGTGATTGATTGAGGGAGTCGAGTGACCACCACTCCGATACTTTTTTGTTTCTAGAACAGCCGCTTGATAGCGTATGATTATTCATTTGGAGCACCTAGAGTCGATTGCAAGCTTGTTGTTTCAGCTCGGTTGTCGTTAGTCATCAGTGTTTCCCTCCTTCGTAGACCCTAAACATTTCGTAGGCCCTAGGCACTGTGCCTGCAGAACAAAGGGAAGAACACGGACTAACTCCCACACGACACATTCCCAGCTCTTTTCTGTGCACAATCAATGCAACAGGAAAACACCTGATCAATAAGAAAAACCTTTTGTCCCAATACTTATGCTCTTCTGAAATGAGGGGATTGAACACAAAAAGTTCTGTTATTCAGTAATACAGTATAAGCACAGAAATAAAATATGACATTCTGCACGTTTGCCTCATATTTATCTTTTTATCTCAATCCAAATAGTTTAAGTATACAGTAAAATCAGCAATTTTGACTTCAGTGTCTCCATATTTATGAAGGCCATTGCACTGTATGTACTGTATAAGCACAGCCGTCAAATAACCTCTGTCTTCTTATTGCAAATGGAGACTCAGTTTACAGACAGTTTCCTTCCTATATTTGTCTGTGCGCGGCGATTCAAGAATAATCAGTTTCTGAGATGAACATTGAGATGCGTCACACCATTGGTTAAGTGGTCAATTGAATAGCAACATTCAAGTGAGAGAAGATCATTTTTGCTATTCCTTTTCCTGTTCTGCCCTCCTGAAACAAGGGTTCTTCTTTCTGTCAGCTCTCTTTCAGCAAGGTATCCTTGAGGACATGAACTCCTGTGGAATTCTAGTCACCACCTTACTCATCGTCTGTGAGTACCTGCAAGTGCTCTTTTTATCCCCGGCAAAACGTTTTTAAATATTGAAAAATGATTACAAAACTGAACTACAACCCAGAACTATTACAAATGTTTCTATCTAACTTACAATGTTCACTTTTTATCTCCAAAGATAGTGTGGCTGATCAGGAGAAAAGGCATCGAATAGGTAAGAAAATTAAATGCTTTAACTGTCGCCAGTCTCCAGTGACTGAAGTAAAGACAGCATTGAAAAGGCTTCTGGCTATCCAAAAGCTGCATGGCAAATTATTTCACCTTCTTTTAAAACAAAACAAAAATAAAAGAATAATCAGATAATGGTCTGGCATTAGACACTATGTACAATATGACGTGGAGGGTTTTACTTGTTTGGCTTAAAATGACTTTTGGAAATGTTTGTGTTGTTTTTTTGTTGTTGTTGTTTTGCACTAGGGCAAGAACGCTCACAAACTATCGCGATGTGTTTCCAACCCTTGAGTATTAAACAACACAGGTCTATGGGTGTCTTAACTGAACGAATATGCGAGAGAGGATTTATTTCTGTCGTTATTGGGACTAGAGGATTAGAATCCTGCACTACTGGAGATTCTTCTTCTCCACTTAGTTTCTGTATTTACATTAGACTAAAATTCACTCACTCCGAACAGCAGCTTCAGTCTAACGCGATAAGAGACGTGGTTTCTTTTTCTTTGCTGTCCGTCTTTAATAAAGGTAAAAACAAATTTACCTTTGCGAGTTCCCCTGGGTTTTAATTCGTGCGGAACAGAAACTGCGAGAGAGCTGCATGCAAGGTTCAAGATGTCGCTACCTGAGAGTGCAAAGTCTGAAGAAGTTCTGGTTTTTGGTATGGGTGCAGCAGTGAAGTTCCAGTTCTCATTGAACTAAAGCACAGACCTATGTCTGGGTGGGAGAAAGGTACCCCAGAAGCAGTTCAACTCTGGGTGCTCCGCTGTCTTTGCTAATGGAAGCTTGCGCTCTTATTGAAATAGAGCGAGCTTCGGGTATTCTGCAGAGACTGATGGTACAATATTATTTTTACACCCTTATAGAAAACAAATTTATGAGAAAAAGACATTGGGGAAATAGTGGAGACTGCATTAGCGTAGTATGAAATATATATATTGTGTCAATAAAGAAACAGAAATGTACACGTACAGTATCTGCATTACAAAAACAGTATAATAGATTGAATCACTGTGGAAATTGTCTCTAAGTGTCCGGTATTTTGAAAGAGAAGTGCTAGAATTCTAGTCATATCTAGAAGTTCACGATGGAAAAAATGTTTTTTCTATAAGCTCCATGGTTGTTTTCCTGATGTTAAGCTTTCAGTCGTTTTATTGACGTGTGATGGAACTATCAGTTTCAATACGGCTTCAGAACAAGGTCTTTCATGTTTACTGAACATCATGACGGGAAACACTGCAAAAAAACAGTCTCAGATTTAACGAGTATCTTGTTAATGTTTCAGTATTTACTCATCATACATTATCATAATATTCCAACAATAAATCATAAATATGTTTGCTGCATAATAAATGTGAATATGTTATCGTTGGCTTAAACCTTTACAGTATATTACTACTGATATTACTACTATAATATAAACTTCTTATATCACTACTACTTGAAAGACCTGGATTGTTTTGTACGGTTCCTGTATATCGCCCTTTCTTAGTAACTGCATAAAGATTACAAACGAGAGATGACTGTTTCACCCACATAAATTCACTGTTAATAGAAAATTGATACAAGGATCTCATCTGTTTCCTGAAAGAAGATGGGATATTAGCTGCAATAACATGGCTGTTCAGCTTCTTCCATACTTCTTCTGTAACCATTTGTGTAAACAAGTGCCTCCTGTTCTGGGCATTAAATCACTTCCAGGTAGTTTCCATTTATGACCTCTGGTTTATGTCTCACCGAAGATCCTGAAGAAGTCTGCTGGGCTGACTATCCAGGTGCCTTTGATGAGGATTTCGAATGCTTGAATTAGGCTACCTTACCGGCAACCTTGTTAAAGACTAAAGAGATTCAGTTCTTAGACTGTCAGAGTAGGACATTCTACTTGTCTGGGATTATATACAGTACACTGATTCCAGAGTTGCAATATCTTTTTTGTATCAAACTTGAACACTGAGTATTCTTAATGAGGTAGAAGTACGCTGAGCAACTTTAACAGAACATACTACCTTTTGAAAGAGTTTTGTTAATATCTCATTTCCTTAAAAAATACACAGCCTGCTTCCTGTTAGATATTGTTTTTCTGTGGTTTTGGGCTTGAAGTGCTTTCGCTTCAGTGAGTACACAAAAGATTAGTTTTTAATGTCTTCCTGTCCGTCTCTGATTAATAATTCAATTTGGCAGAGATCCGGCTACTGCAGAAGCAGCCTGTGCCTAAAGAAGGAAACGTGACTTTCCACTGTAAGATCCCAGGAAACAGCAGTTTAAGTGACAACCACACCTATAAGATCCATCTTCTTCGGGATGGAGATGTCGTCAGGAGCCACAAGTGGAACAGACGACAATCAGGAGCCGAGTTTATTATTCAGAGAGTAACCAAGGCGAACGAAGGAACCTACTCCTGTGAAATCAGTAGTGAGGGATTCTTCCAGTCATCACCGAGCCTCTCTTCCGTCTATCTTCAGGTGGCAGGTATGCGATCGTCCTGTGCTTAGCAAGGGTGAATGTGTTCAACTGCACCTGTGCTTTTCACTCTTCCAGTCCTCTTGCAATTTAAAGAGGTTTCATTGCGGAATGGCGGAACATTGTTGATTCTTTAGGGAGCACAAGCCTTTCCGGAGAATTCCGTTGGAAATCTGGGGGCTTTCACCCTGAGTGGGCGGGCCCTGTACTGGTCCCCGACTCACTTTCCAGTCAGCGGTTTCATTTTTTCTAACCTCGGGGGGTCCCGTATCCATTGCTCGGACAAAATAATGAAAGCAGTTAGAGTACTATGCCATGAACGTTATAACTTGACACATCTGTCTGCGCACATTTACTGTGTGATAATTAAGGCAGCACATCCAGCTCCAGGTGCTGGGTTATGCAACAGTCTGGAGCTCACTATACTATACAGTATGTGAATTGGCTCAAATTGTTATGAGAAAGTGAATGCATATAGGAGAGCATCAGCCTGAATTACTGAGCCGTTTTACTTTAGATTGTTACTGCATATGCCTAACCCCTGCAATCGAGCATTGAGTAGAATATGCAAAGTCAGGCATCACCTGGAAATATTTTTTCTTGCTTGCTTTATACTCTTCTTGGGTACTTTTAGTTGTCTAGTTCAATTTCTTACATTTCCTTCTAATATTATTGTGACACATTACATATTAATACTGTATACTTTGCATGATTTGTTTTTTCAGGTAGTAACACATGGCCGATCATCGTGCTGGCAGTAGCAGGAACTGGACTCTTGTGTGTGTTCCTTGTCACATTCTGGGTGTCAAGGAAGTCGAAGACAAGGAGAACCCCGACAACACAGACAAGGTAAAGATGCTTAGGCAGCAGTACTACAGACTAGAGAAGAGGAGCTCTCTGTCACTTCAGTATCAAAGCGTTTGGAAATGGTAACCTGTCAATTCATAATAGACAATTGGTAATACAATTGCAGTTTTATTCTTGCACAGGCATGCTGGACACTTTCAGAACTCTGATAGCTGAACTGCAACTACACGCGTTCTTTTTTAAAAGAAACATTGATCAACAAAGTCAGTATTTGCAGCCTGACTTGGTGGGCAGGAAGGTAGGGGGAAGAGGTATTAGTGAGGTTTAGGTTCGTTTAAATAAACCTGCAATGTTTATTTGAGTACATTCCATCCATCATCACAAAATGGATTGCTCTGGTGAGGGGAGCAGCAACACTGATCCCAATCTCGAAGCACAGGGCCCAAGGCAGGGCCAGAGCCACACAAGGACAGCTCAGAGAGCTCACACTTACCACCAGGAGAAATCCCACATAGAATGCACCCCAACTTCAGAGACTCAAGAGCTGCGAGGGTGCTGCACTAACTGCTGTATCACCATGCTACCACTGATAGTTGGGTGAAAGAAGTACTGTAGGTAATGGGACAGGCACCCCCAAATATTAAGTACAGAAGTCAATATGAAAGAAGTTTGACATTTCTTAAGCACAATACCTACTCCAAATTACAAGAGGTTCAGGCCTTCATTACATCTGTTTCTCTCTCCTGCAGGTTTAATTGTAATGCCGATGTTTATTATAATGGTAAGGATGTTTATTATAATGGTAAGTATCACACCAGGGGACCGGGGGCCTTAATGGGATTTTAATGGGCGAGTCTAGGCAAAACAGACACTTTTCCTCAAGTTTCCTCTCCTGGGCTCATCTTTCAGGTCCATCATGTCCTTCTCCCCCTGATGCAGCACATTTCAGAGGCCCTAACTACTCCTAGATAACAGAGGCTAACTGCCAGTATGGAGGCCTCAGCTTCCTTGTTTTACGTTTCACTGAACCAATTGTCTTCTTCCAAATGGGTCAGGTGACAGAGGATGGCAGGTCATTCCCTATTGCCTTCTGGGGAATGTGGTTTCAAACAAGAACCTCCATCTTGCATGAACCTACCATCCTCTGAATTGTCACAAAGGGATTCAACCCACACAAGACACTTCCACTTCTAGTGTTTTTCACAATCCACCACCTCCCCCACTTTCCAACCTCTTTTTCTTCTCCCTGTTGTAGCTTAATGGCCTTTACAGCAGGTGAATACCTCGCATTGTGATTTCACTAATGAGTCATGTCTCTGTTGTGCATTCCCTGGCAGCTAACCAACAGTGGAAAGTTTCAACGGCAGCCTCATGTTGTTCTAATTCACCCCTGTTTTCATTCCACAGTGGGACCACAAGTCAATGTCCCGAATAACCAAAACACCCAAAGGTAAGAAGATAAAAGATGCCAGTACTTTTTTGATAGGAGTCGTGGAAGCTCGGACGGCAAGGGTGTCTAGCTTCTGACCAGAAGGTCCCGGGTTCAATCCCAGGTAGGGGCAAGTGATGTAGCTTGCTCTAATTCCTTCCGGATGGCTCCCAGGTCCACTCTGCCTGCTTTCTGGGGGTTAATCCTTCTGGGGGTAATAGGCCAGCTGGACTGTGATCCTGACCACATCACCTCCACTTCTGGTGTTGTATGGTTAAAGGAAAATGGTGGCCCATTCCTCCATGAGCCTTTATGGCCTGAAAAGGGACCTACCTACTTTCTTGATAACTATACTATGAATGCCACAGCAAGTCAATCAATAAGGTACTTCTCTGAGATATTCAGCCAATATGCTACGCAAGTGGGGAATCTTGATTTATCAACCAGCATGGTCTCCTTGTACCTCCATACACTCCTGTCACCACCTCATGATGTTACGGATGTGCCCTTGGAAGAAAACGATGTTGGTTGATCCCCGAGTCATTGCATCTCAGCCCTGGTGTAAGTCTGCAGTTGACCTCATTCGGCCAAGCAGCTGGAAAACCAGCAGCGCATTGGTCAATGGTGTTTTGATCTGGACTATAAGGTAGGTAGGTGGTGCAAAACCCAACAGCTCTATGAGCCAACCCTGTGGACGCACCGCTGTGGAGCAGAAAGGTGTCCTTTGTCTCTAAGAGCTGCCTTCATCTGCAGGGCAGCTGCCATTACAATGAAGGAAGCTCTCAGGGGTCTGGACTTCAGTGACGTTCATGGGACCTGAGCTGCAGTGCATGACAGGCGTGGGGACCGAACAATTTCATTTCATTATGAGGGCGCTCACACATTTACTATATGAAGCACCAGTGCAAGTGGGCGGGGGATTAAGTTGAAAAAAATAATAATTTTCTCTACTTGTGAAGAGTACTTTGTAGATAATTCTCTGATTCCCTTTATTTATACACTTACCAATGGACATGTCTTTATTTTACAGTCCCAGCAGCCCAGACTCTTATGCTGTATACTACATACTTTGTAAGTACAGCATTGTGGTATCCTACCAGCAGGGGGAGTATGAGCGCATTGTGGAAAAGGAAGGGACCTACATTTAGTCTGGAGTTACAGATTACACTGAAGACCCACAGGCATTTTAATGTCATGAAGGCAGATTCAAAGATCTGCTTGATGCTTCTTGCTTTTAATTGCTTACTTAAAAAAATACAGAAACATTTTTCACTGGAAAGCAACATTAAGGATTGAGAAGCCTGCCCTCCCTGAGTCATGTATGAAGGAAGTTTTGTTGCTCTTTTCCTATTAGAAACCCTGCTGTTGATACATTGATTATGAACACACCTCACATCAAATGTTATACTCTCACCCAAGTCTTTGTCACGCTTCATTTTAGCCACGGGAAAAAAGGAAAGTCAAGATGGCTACCCCTGAGGTACAGTATGCTTTTCTATTTACCGATAATCTATGTTAATTAAGAAAGTTAAGAATGTTTCCACATTTAAAACAAATGATGAAAATATCCATGTGTAAACATTTTAACAAAAGGACACGTAAATTCTTATGCTTTGAAGAAAGCAACAAATTGCGCTTCAAGAAAACAGTCTCTGAAAATAAAAGTCATCACTACATGTTGACCCACGGTTTGGTGAACAGAGCTTAGATGAATTTCATGAACACTAGACGTTTTTGCCAAGTTTTAGCAAGCTGATTTTGGAGAAATAGTATTACACTTTTCAAGGATCTTCCCTTTGTTCGGTCCAGTCGCAAGCATGGAAAAGGTTCCATAAAACTCCTTACATTACTTTCATACATGAGACAAAGAGAATCCATGGGAACTGCGTTTTATTATTTTTTCTTCCAAAGCACACCTTGGGGATTAGCACATTAGTACTAGCGATTTAACCTAGTTATTCCCCTTTGATCAATTTGGGATGCCTGTGTTGTGTCTAGATGGGCACCGTACAAGCATGTTATTAAGCCAATTGAAAAACCTTTGTGTTTAATATATGGAGTTGAGCAGAAGTACTGTTATTTAGTTGGCTGTAGCCAGGTGCCAACAAAGGTTCAGATCCTCAGACATTGAATATATTGTTCTAGTGTCCACTAGAACCAGTGAGCTGACAAACCAAGCTGTACTACAGATCTCTTTGCTTTCCTCCACCAGGGTGAAACACTGTTCAGTGTCTTTCACATTCCTCTTGTGCTCTTCCACTCTTCAGATGTTCATAGTCAGGTGCAAGAACTGGAAAAGAAAAAGAAATTGTCGGCTGCACACTTTCACAGAAGCCACGGAACATGCCGTGCTACACGCCACGCTCTCGCCACAGTTTCTCTGTCAGTCCTACCTGCTGGAAACCCAGGGAGATCTCTCCGCTGTTGTCTCTGTCAAGTGCCTGGAAAACTCCTATGGATGAGGGAAAGGGATTTATTTGAGATTTCTTTATCCTGGCTTTGCTCGGTCCAGCTTGAACATTGAGGTCTGTTTAAAACAGGCAACTTACTCAACATGTTTTCAAGCCGAACGACGCACGTGAGGAAGTCGTCAAAGTCGATGTTGAACTTCGAGTCAGCGAATCTCAAGGCCAGCAACTGCAGGATTTTGTTGTTGAGACGGATCCCTGCAGGTGAAAAAAACAACAACACATCACGGACAATTCAGGAAGTACCGAGCTGTGCTCATACAAAAACAATTTTTGAAGACTTCATTAAACCTCATCACATGAAACAGAGCAGAAGAATAAGGACACCAAGTGATTAGCTGTTTATTATAGCCCTGGTCTCAACGTTCAAGGCCCCCCTGCCCATCAACTCATTGATGTCTAGAGTGTCTCGCATGGGGCAGAGTGCACCCTCACCCCCTGTTGCATAGACCCAAAAAAGCACGTGGAGGCTGAGGAGGAGTCCAATTCAAGCCTGCACTAAGATCATGTTCCTGTGAGAATAATCTGTGGGCATGTCATTACAGTTTTAACCATCCTATATTCCTTCTACAGATTGAGTGTGAAGTGAAAGACAAGGTTCTGGTGCACGTGGAGTGGCTGTGTGCAAACAAGAATCAAATATCCAGAGCTGTGCTTGTTCTTCTCGGCTGAGAGTAAATCCACCGAACTAAGGGACAGCAATGTGAGTGGGAAGCCACTGACTGTGAATGACAGTGACTAAAGATGTGTGTCTAGTGAAGGACATTCACAGGACGACCCAATGTGCAGAATTATAACTTCTGTCACGTCTCTGTCTCTTGTGTTCCAGACCGAGAGAGCCTTTGCCGAAGAACTCATCCATACTGACAGCTGTGATTCCTTCTGATCAACATGAGAATAAACTCTATTCTGTCAGGCTGCTTGAAGAGTCTGCATTCACTCTGTTGTTATGGGCCTCACTTTCTGCTCATTGCTTCTTAATGGGTTTGTTTAGAACTACAGAATTACTGTTATGTCACAAGATTCTTGGTTGGGAAAATGCTAAATTTAATCATCTTATTTTCTCCTAACACTGCCCTGATGTGCGTCGGTATTGAGTCAGCTCAGTTCTGTGTATGGCCTGACATATTGAATAATTTTGTTATTAAGAAGAATGTCAGGCATGCTTAGAGGCAGAACATCTATTCCTTAGTACTCTGAACAAAATTAAATATATCACCTAAGGAAACAAAATACATTCAAATGCAAGGGGGTGAATTTAATGACTACCAACGACTGCAGACACAATTTAAACATCAGATTAAACTTGAAAACAGTTTAATCACAACATAGGGTATGGAAAGAAAGAAGAAAGGATAGGGTACTTGTTTACGTTTAAGCAGCTATAAGATCTTTAAGAAAAGAAAGACCCACAGGAACCCAGAAGTTTGTTTCAGTAAATATTATTTAAATAAAAAAAAAATTCTCACCTATTGAGCTGAGAGCTGCTCTCAGTTCGTAAGAAGACAAACAGCCGGATCGGTCCGTGTCAAATGTCAGAAACAACATCTATAAACAAAACAAAATGTGATTAGGTCATATTATAAGACTTCTTCAACTTTAATTGTCCATCAACTTGCCCAGTGGTGAACCCACCACAGCCTGGGGAGCCCGAGAGTTTTCCACACCAGCGTATGGCGCCCATCTTGTGGACTGAAATTGGCCACCAAGCCAGCTGCTCAAAGCTCAAAGCTACAGTAGCTTTGACTGTCAAAACAGCAGGCAATCACTGCAGTAAAGACGCATTCTCACTTACTTAATATCAGCCCTGTGTTCACATCTCCTCCCACAGGATGTCAGGACTATTCCAGATTCATTACACTCTGTTCAAAGAGGGTCCTATGGCTGACTCTATGGATTAATGAAAATCCTGTGCACATTTGTATTATTTTTTTCATACTTACAATCCATTTCTTTAACTTATCCCAAAAGATTTTGAACTCCTGAAACTCAAGTTTTCCAGTGTTGTCAGCCTGTTTTTTTTTTTTGGTCAAGCAAAATTCATACTCCAGTGAATAAAAAATAAGAAACTACT